AAAATTAATTGTCTCTAATGAGTGATGATTAATGTCCAGTAAACAAACATTTCTTATTTCTTGTTTCATAAGTCGCCGACGTATTAGTTCTAACACGTCGGGATTTTACGAGTTTATCATTCGCGGCGTCGCGCGTCGGACTTTTCCGAGTTCCTAACGTGTCGGCGCTTTACGAATATGCGCACAGGTTATGTAAATTAGTTGAGTTTTATATAAAAAAACTTAATTCACCTAAACTCTGCGATAGCAATAAGTAACATTTAAATGGCTTCATGCCGCACAGGTTAGGTAAATTAGTTAAGTTGTTTTTTAATTTTCCTATTTTCGTATATTTTTTTTGCGATGCAAACCGCGAACGTTCCAGGCCAGATAGGTGAAATAGTTTTGTTTTTTATAAAACTTAAAATGTCTCATTGGGAAACAACTCGACCTTACTTAAATGCATAAGTTGTACCAATTAATATGCTTTAATTATGATGGTGAGATTTTCCGGGTTTTCCTCACCTGTGAATAAAATGGCACCATGAATCATTTTTAAGTCGCCCCGGACCGCCACGTTAAATACTAATAATAATAATAATAGCCGTCCCTTCCGCATACAAACTCAGTCGGCTTCAGGGGTTGAAAGTGAACTAGGGAGAGTATTATTGTTTTTTTTTTTTTTTTTTTTTAATGGCACTGGATATAACCAAAAAGTATTATTGTTATTATTATTATTATTATTATTATTATTAATACATAATCGTTTAGCTCTGAAAATAATAATTTGTAAATTAACAGTATTGTAAGTATAAAATGTATATGAGATTATCGAAACATTTGCCATTAGTACCTATTTTGACGATACCCGCTGAGTTTAGTTTCCACGGTAATAGGGTTTAGACGGACGGTTACATGGTGTTTGTTTTTTTATATTCTACTATATTTAATGTTGATTTTCGATATATTGTCCTTTTGAACTATTTAATTTTAGATCTATTGCCTTCTCGATAAAATGTTATTCGTTAAAATATATCTTCGATCAAATGTTATTCGATAAAATATATTTTCAATCCAATGTCATTCGACAAAATGTATTTTCGATTAAATTTTCAATTCTATTAATTTTTTGCCACCCTATTTTTAATCCTGTATTAAAGAATTTATCAAGGAAGTATATTAAATCATATTAAGGAACTAACTTAGCAAATTATAAACATCAACTAAGTCATTTCATCTGTCACCAAGCATAAGACCATAAAACATCAAACACTTGCAAGTTAATCATTCATCCAGAACACAAGTAGTATGTTCTTCGAAATAATACGAATGAAAAGGAAGTTAAAGTTAATTAGTAGATGTTACAATTTGCTACAAATCTGCAAGTTTAATAGGCATTATAGAGCTAATACACGGTGTCCTAAAGAAGTGGCAAAACACAAATAGTGCTGTTGAAACTTTTGTATAGTTTTCTTTGGTTAGTTTCGTTTGTTTCCTGTAAGGTGTGATGTACACCTTGAGTGGTCGAAACTAGTTCCTATTAAACTAGTTTCTTAAAATAAATTTACTTTGACCAAACTGAAAAGTTTTTGTTGTATTTAATGAATCTTGTCGCATTTGACAAAGAATAATCTTCTTCCGTAAATTATTATTATTATTATTATTATTATTATTATTATTATTATTATTATTATTATTATTATTATTATTATTATTATTATTATTATTATTATTATTATTATTATTATTATTATTATTATTATTATTATTATTATTATTATTATTATTATTATTATTATTATTATTATTATTATTATTATTATTATTATTATTATTATTATTATTATTATTATTATTATTATTATTATTATTATTATTATTATTATTATTATTATTATTATTATTATTATTATTATTATTATTATTATTATTATTATTATTATTATTATTATTATTATTATTATTATTATTATTATTATTATTTTTATATTGTAGATGAGGGTATCTGTTTTTCGTACGACATAATTTGTCAACTTAAAAGTTAGTTTTTATCTCCAAACATATACTGTCAAAATCACGGGTTAGGTCAATGATTTTTTTTATGGACTATTGATAATCGCATTTTATGTGATTACCCATAGAACAGATATCAAAAGTAACTATGACAATTATATGACAGCTCAATAATTTACAGTTACAGTACAAAAACAAAGAGAAAACATGACAAGCTTGTCTACTAGATTTTACAGCACTAATGTACTAAGCATAATTATCATTTATTGGTTATTGATTATTAATCAACTTAAAGTATAGGATATTATCAGTAATAGTCTCTTAGAGGATTTGTTCTTGTTTCGTCAATTCGTGATTCGTCACCGGACCCAAAATTTCTTGTTTCGTCACCTGTACCTTTTTGACCTTTTCGCAGGTAATAATTTATTCCGCATTCGTCAACTGGGACTACTAGCGTCATAAAAGTCCGTAAACCTAAATTGTTTTTAATGTTTACATTATTTATAATATTTATTGTAATAATTAGTAATGTTATTATAAAAAATAAAAAAAAACATAAATTCAATTTTTGTTTAAGAAAGTGTCTTTATGGTCACCAATAAATAGTATTTTTTTAAGAAACCGTTTGTTCACCATCCTGGCTTCGTCAAATATATTATTTTCCTATTATTCGTACGTTACATGAATATATCTTCTTTTTCCACAAAGATCCTATAATGATTTGAGTTCTCTTCAAGAATTTTCATAAATTCATATGTATTAGGATGACGGTTCTGTTTAATTTATTGTGCCAACCTTCATCTGCATTTGTGGTACTATGTCTGTTGTTATAACATATCCAGTGTCTGTTGGCGTTTAACCAGACTTCAACAAAATAGTCAATTTCATAACTTTTTCGTTTTCTGGCGAGGAAGCCATAATCTGAAGCCATCCTTCATCTATACACTCCGGAGGTAAATGTGCTAAATCACCACACATTCTTATATGCTTTCGAACAATTTCATCTTCTCTACATTCAATGGCAAGTCCCAGTTCTTGAGCTTTTCGCCAAATAACTTGGTTAAAATAAAAGTTGCAACCTTTAATTTTCACATCTGGGAAAACTTTCTGCATTCCATTTATCGCAGCCTTCTCAAAATCAACATGGAATTTCACTGGACTGAATTTAGGTATTTTTTTCTTTTAATATGGTAAAAAACTCCGTGTAAGTCACGTCTTTTCTATTTGGTAATAAAGCATAAATAATTGGCCAGACGCAAGTTTTTCCTTCTGTACTACCAAAATCCATATGAATGGTGTATAATTGTTCAAATAAGGAAGGACAACTCTTAAATGTTCTCCAAAAGATTCTACCATTACCGATTTATTGTCAAATAAAAGGAAATGTTTATATTTATCAGGAATGACAACATCTTTGCAATCACTAGCGCAGGTGCAAAGATGAAGTGACTAAACAAGAACACTTTAAATAGGTATATTTTGCAGTTGACGAAACAAGAATAAAATTTCCCTAGGTGACGAAACACGAATTGACGAAACTAGAAACTACCTCTTAGAGATACTTATTTTTTTTTGTTACAAATGAAAGTTACAATAGTCTGTATTGAATAATATTATTGTTATTAGTAGCGGAAAATACTCCTGATTTCGTTGAGACACCGTGTACATTACATGTGTCACGTCAAGGCGGCATTGTAAATATGCTTTTACACCAACACATGTGAAGAGCTAACACATGGAGAAAATATAATAGAAGTCATTGAGGTGTATTTCTGGTGACATCCCGGAATCCCTTCGACGCACAGTATTTTTCATGCACACAGATAATTTATGGCTTTAGATCTTTGTATCTCGTGTCGCTATTTCGTTGAGAGTGTATTTAACTAGTATAATTCTTGAAATTATGTTTTAATTATATCTCTATACCTACGTATTGTAATCGTAGGTATGAAACGTTATTATGAAAAAGAAATTTATTTATAACAAATTAGTGATTTAAGAGCAACTGGTGTTAAAATGGCAACCTATTAACAAAATCCTAAGGGTTTGCAGTTGAATGTTCCTGATCAATATTGAATGAAACACGGAATATATCGTTGACAATATTGAGTTAATAAGTCCGTAAGAAAAGTGACATTATTTACCAACATGTGACCAATACGACAAAAATAGTTGAAGCTTCCAAGTTGATATGCGAATTTTGGTTTTTCAAGATGATCATTTGGAACTTAAAACATTATAGCCGAAGTTGTGCGTTTTGAGATGTTGCCAAATATAAGTGCCTTACAAAATGGCGTTCAGGGTGCATAAGCTCATGTAATTATACATTTTTTTTTTAAATTTACCTAGGAAAAGGCAGATTGAAATGAATTTATTATCGAATTTCATAATGTACAAGAATCAGTAGCTGTGTTGACAGGTAGAGCAAATACAATAATTTAAAATCACGAGTACAATTACTTCTTGATATAATTATTATTGGTTTGTACTATTAATACTATAATCTTGTTCTGGGTCATTCTAACCTTTTAATATTTAACCATGATTCTTACCGATAATGCACGTCTTTAGATTTAATATGATTAGTACGTTCATAATAAATACATTACATCATCAATACTGCATGCATTTTACTACTTGAATATTTTATGTAAGCAGAACTACATAAAACTAATAAATTTGGCAACAAAGCATGGATCGTTATCTTTGGCGTTTTTCACGTTGGCGCATATCGCAGCTTTTGCTATTTATGTCAACCTGTACATAAAATTATGCTTTGATCTTTAAATGGAATTTCAAGAGTTGCATTCATTAGATTATAATCCCGAAGCCAAAATATACTAAACGCGATATTTATAAATTTAAAGGAATAGCATAACATAAGCACACGTTCATGTAATTAAAAATTTTGTTTGAAAATATCCCATTACATTACTCTGTTTGTTTGAAATGACCAATTACCACACATGAATTTATTTAACCGCTGACTGCATCTCTCTATTTTTCAGATATTACGAAACGGGTAGCTTTAAAGCCGGTGTGATCGGCGGTTCAAAACCAAAAGTGGCAACACCACCAGTGGTCGACGCCATAGCAAATTACAAAAGGGAAAATCCCACCATGTTCGCCTGGGAAATTCGTGATAGGCTTCTAGCTGAGGGAATTTGCTCCCAAGACAATGTACCTAGTGTATCTTCAATTAATAGGTAAGTAGATTTACTATTTTGGTTGTATTTTAAATTCAATATTATACTCTACAATAATAATCTTCGAATACAGTTTGACATTTAACGTAAAAAATTATTTATTTAGGTGTAGGTACAATCTGGAGCAGTAAATTATAAAATAGATCATACATACTTTCTAGTAAAAGTTCGAAAGTTTTTCTTAGAATTACTAAATTGACTATTTAAAACTTATGAACTGTCATTATATTCTATTTTACAATGACAATCAAATAGCTTATGTACCTAAAATAATAAAATCACGGGAAAAATGTAATTTCATCATCCTACTAAATAAAATTAAATATATAATTCTTTGTAAAATAAGATTTATCTAGAATCTATTTAAACTATTTAATGTGTGGTAACCAAACACCAAACTATACGAAAATTATATAGTTTCCTGTTTTCATTGTTCACTAAAACTATAATTATACATAAGTGTAGCTAAAAATGGAAGTAAAAATAGTAATAAACAAATTTACGAAATTATTACGACCACTTGTACATTATAATGAAATCTAAAAGTGTATAACACTAAGTTTTAAAATAGCAGGAGGATATTTTGAAAAAGAAGGTTTAGATTTATTTATTTTTTTATTTACCTACCCGATTAATTTTTTCTTTTAGTATTATATACATACTTTTAATACTCTTATTAATATAAATAATTAATTATTTTGTTTCTCTATTATAGAACAGAAGACTGAAATGTAAAAAATACTTAAATTCTAATATATTTAATAATTATTTTTTTGTTACGTTTGTATCATTTGTTGGTTAGCCTTTTGTCACTATCGGTCCTTATTACACAGAAGTGTCTTCTAACTTAGACATGCTAAACTGGGTTTTTCATAACAGGGGTCTCCAAACTACGGCCCGCCAGTGTCATCAATCCGGCCCGCGACAGCTAATGGCTTATTGTTGCTGAAATAAGTTGGATCAAAAACAGAATGATAATAACTCTTATTTATTTACTTGCTAGGTATAGCTTAATGACAAGTATACTACGCAAAAAATTTTACTTAAGCATAATTTTGAATAGGAAAGTATCAATGAATTGCTGTTTCTATATAGAAAACTTTTAATGGATAAATATTTTTGTTTCATCTAGTAAAAACAATTAATTAGAACACTGTGTTTTCTACGTTTGTGCAAACAGTTCTTGTTCCTGAAACTTTTTAATTTTTTTCGATATTTGTGTTAAGTCGTTTAGTTTTTCCCTGGTTCTTAAAATGTCCTCAGGTGCATTATTGAACGTTTTTTCTCTAACATATGGATTACCTTGTTTTCGGTTACCGCATTTTGAAATATTTTTCCAGAATATTCCAAGTATTTCGCAATGTTACATTCACCTGTATACTAGTGCTTACCTTACTAAAAAAAAAACTCTCGCTATTCTTAAGTCGTGCATAGTTCACTAAAATTTTGCACGACTTCAGCAGGACGTTCCTATCAAAATACTGAACCATTCTTTTTGGATTTAAAATATCAAATTTGGGCTTGAAGGAGAAGGTTTAGTTAAGTAACTTGGTCATAAGGGGCTGTGTTTATACCGGTACTGTATATAATTTAGTGTAGCATTGGCCTGGCATGTTCTTTTGCTTTACTAACCTACCTGCAAGACATGGGAATCAGTAGTGAATCAAGAGCTCATGAGTGAGGATTCATCGTAGACAGGAGCAAAAAGATTCTTTAGACACCATGAATGATAGCAACATCCTTTATGGACCTGGTATCGATGAGATAAGCTGATAAAACTCGTTTATCAACATTTTATTCCAAATTTATTTTATTGTTTAAACCTTTAAAGTGTTTTTCTCACAACTCACGTTTCCAAAGTTGGTGTCCCACATAACTTCAAAACTACTGCACCTATCCTTTTGAAATTTTAAATACTATTTCTGTACATAATTTACGAGGTAACGCTGTAGAGTTTTTTTAAATTTGTTAATATTTTTTCATTTTATAATAACAAATAAGCCTATTTTTTCGCAAGAATCGCGTTGTTTACTTCAAAGTGTTCCCAAAAAGTAAAAAATTGAAGTTTTGTAAAACCCTCTTTGCAGAACCTGGGGAAAACGATTATCTAACAAGAGAACTTTGGTTTTCTATTTTTGATGATCCAGCACCGATTTAGAAGGGGAACCGCAATTCTACTTTTTTCCGAGACAATTCCGAATAAATGCTGCCATTTCCGTATTTTTTAATAATTCTACATGAAAATTTGACACAATATTCTTTGAATGTTATACTTTAATATAACGTTAGTTAAAATAAACAGATTTTAACTGTGTCGTCAACAAAAATTCACAAAAATGTGCATTTTTTTTACACGAATTAACCTTACCCCCCCCTTAATACAACTTGTAGGTATTCTACTGATCTTTTATTAGTGAAGTTAACCTAAACTGTTTTAGTTTCATTTTTATTACTGGTATGTCGGGGTAAAAAAAGAAATTAATGAATTAATGGAGGAAAATTCATATTTTAATGATGGTGTTGTATTTTCACAAAAAAAAATTATTTTGTAAAGTAATAATCTGAAAAAACATATTTGTTCCGTACATATTGTCGTCCAGAAAATATTAAATTATAGAACAAACACAAATTTAATTTTCCTCTCTCTTTAGGCAAACACGTAAAAACGTTCCCCAATTTAAGCAATAAATATTGAGGGTTAATTTATAAAATAGCGCTCTCAATCGAGGCTGATAATCGAAGTGAACATAAAGAGCCACTCAACACAATCCATTTGAAACAATCGCGCAGCAATCATAGCCACCCCCTATATATATGCGCGCAGATAACATCGAGTAGGCCAGGCGTGCGAGGGGCTGATTTGACACATTTAATTTGACCGGTTGTCCCATCGGGGTTGTCCATTACAACGTATCACAGCAGTAGTCTTCTGTTGCTGATTAATAAAATAACAGATGTGATTCTGTTTATTCTCTACTGGGTGCGATGCGATAATGTAATGAATCGAGAAAAGATTACATTTTCCATTTGGACGAATTAAAATTTCAAGGGCAGATCATTTTATACTGAACATTTTTCTAAACCAGTAAAATTACATAATGAAAATGACATAAATGAAATGTTTTTTATAATAAAAATATTATTTTCCTTACAATGGATCATTTACGATTTTATTTATTTATTTGAACAACAAAACATATTGTTTAAACTTACCTATTAAGAATTCTATAACTTTTTAAACTTGCCTGTAATAAATACTTATATTACTGAATGCAATTTGTCTGCATCTATGAACAAGATGCACTTCTGGATAAATGTTCTGATCACTTTAATAACAATGATTACCATGAGCATGTTATGCTGGCCGACTTTCTGTAAGGTCTTTTTTTTTCCTTTGATTTGTTCCTAGTCAATTTTCCGTTGTTTTCGATTTCTCATACCGTCCACTTATGTGCTTAGGTACTTTTATCTTATTTTCTACTTTCAAAAGGACCTCTTTCTTTTGTCGTATTGAAAGTATTTTCTCTATATGAAGAGAGCCCTAGAACTCAAAAAAATACGCTTTGTGTATCACATTAGCTAAAGGGACACCTAGTAGTATAGGCGAGATTATGTTAATGCTAGCTTAGCAGTTGTTAAATTTAAATTTTTATACAAGAATAACAATTTGTTACTTATGAAGACCAGTTTGTCAACCTTTGATCAACAAGAAATGATTCAAATTATATAAAGACCTGGATTTTAAAGAAACAATAGTTACGGTTAGGTTTAAAATGAGTGGGATGATGACATCACCTTCCATTCCTATCCAGATGGGTGTATTGTGGCTTATGCATAACCTTTATTTCTATTTACAAACCAGACCTTCTGATGAGGTCATGGTTTAGTTATACGAGACTTGTTTAAAGTCAGTATACTCCAGTCGGGTGAAGCCAAAGACCTAATTCTTTTCAAGACTGAGTAGACATATAGAATGTGATTTGCTGAATCTACAATACAACGTTTGTTGCAGACCTATCCTTCTCATGTGGTTACCTAGACGACAGTGTTTTGACATTAGTCTCGTGAGGAACGCGTAAATCGTTTCTAGTCCATTCACGGATCTGAGAAGAGCCGTTCATGGAAAGATTGAGTCTTAATGCCTTAAAATGAATTAGCCCTGTTGGGGATATATCTCCAGTATATGAGCATTCCAGTTTAATATAATTCATTTGGCAGTGCTCCAGAATTCCAAGGAATGGTTCTAGTGCTATGAACTCAGATTCTGTTCCTCTTTTAGTGAGCGCGTCGGCTTTTTGATTGCCCTACACACCGGTGTTTCCCCAAAACCCGAAGTAAAGTAATTTTGCACAAGATTCCTAGGCAATCTAGGGCATTTATTTTCGAATTATTTAGTCGGTTATTAAGAGATTGCCTGACAATCCGAAAAGGTCTTCATAGACTTGTTAGCAAGATAAAAACAAAAAATAATAAAAGAAACATTATATATATAATTGACAAAAAAAAGTAACACAGATAAATTGGAAGCACTTTGTTACTTTTTTTATCGTCCACTAATCTTTTTATTTCTATGTAACAAACATACCTCCTGTTTTCTTAGCAATATTATAAATTGATCTAATTTTGTTTAAAAGGTTAGTTGATGACTGTATTTAATAACAATAGTTTATTTTTCAATTCCCAGTAGCATATTACACAGAACAAATCACACCAATTCCAGAAAATCGATATATCAAATAAAGAATAGAAATGAAAACAAAAGCCACACGTATATAAATTGGCGACCACTTAACCTTGTACATAACCCGAAATTTATCGTCCTTTTTTAACTAAACTCCTAATGGTTAATGTCATCTTGGCTGGTACAATGAAACAAATGATAAATTCTGGTCGGGAGCAATGGGGGGGCGAGGGGCTTCCCGGAAACGGACATGACGCCATGCTGAGTAGAAACAGCGGAAGACTACTCCAAACAATGGGTTGGCGCGCGGTGTTTTTAT